TATGCCCACTTGTCTTACCCGTTAGGGGAAACGTTACCCTTGACCCGGTTTCATCCCGCTCCTTGACGTTCCCCGACAGGATTGATAACTGGAGGCGATCTAGTTTGATATTTGTTTGATGTTTTGTGTGCAAGCACAGTCCTAATAAATCACCACTGTTATTTGTTTGATATAAACCAGGATATGGATACTGATATGATTGACATGATACAGCAATTAAACACGATTATTCTATTTCAGAGGAGTAAAGTTCAGTTGCAAGTTCTTTTCTTTTATTTCTGTCCTCCAGTTTGTGGCACGATTTCCGTTACGCACTCTACATCGTATTTTTCAGAGCGCATTATGATGAACAGTTAATAATCCATAGGTGGTCCGGATCATTTCGAAAAATTTGGGCGTTGTGCTCATGGTAACAATAGAATCAGGTTTGTTTTAGCCACAACCTGAGTACCAAAACACAAGATTTCGGTGACAACGTTTCGACCTTCTTGGAAGGCCTTTGTCAAGTCAGTTTAATCGGTTTCTCGAAAACACAAGCTTTAAGGTGAAAGTTGCGGCGTTCAAGGTTGACCCAAAAACGGGGTCAAGTGCGTAAGTTTCCGTGTGTGTGTGTGTATGTTGGATTCGGATTATCATTAGCTCTCTGTGGGATCAGTGAAATCACGAAATCTTGTGTTTTGGTACTGACGTTGTGGCTAAAACAAACCTGATTCTATTCAAATTATGATGATTCAAAATTATGGTTAACCGATAAGCCTTTTCTAAATATTTACGTTGAATTATCAGTCTGACATTTTTGTTGTGACCGCCTTAGGCAAGGGTTCGTAAAGAACTTTGACAACTTGTCAAATAATCTGAGCCACGCGTGGATGGCGTCTGCGCCGAGCGATGAATTGAAGTACCGTTTTCGCACTCATGAAGTTGCAGCATGCCGAACAAATCCGGTATTTCTTATCAATGAATTGCTGATGTTTGTTCAGACGGTTTACCGTCATTCGCAAAACATTTCCAATCATTTTCGTTTTGCCCCTTGATTACATCAACCAAATCACCGTGTTCAACACCTGCAGTGATGCCATGTTGACCAGTTTTATCAATTGCGCCACCTCCTTTGTCTCCGGATTTGTCGTGTTCTCCGTTCTGGGCCATATGTGTTTCCGTATGGGTAAAAACATGGAAGAGGCTGCGAATGAAGGTGAGTACCTGTCTCTCTCTCTCTCTTTCTCGCCCTGATTGAAAAAAACGCACAGTCACTGGAGTTGACAAATTTAATTTGACACGTTTTATTGCTCCCGTGCATTCATTTATTCAAATGCATGAAAAGGGATAAGCGTAAAAAAGCATTGCTCTGTTTTTTTCATTATTTGAATAACTTTCTTTCAGCAGAGTTTTAGCTAGCTTTGAGAATTCATTGATAGAGGAAGGCAGATTGCAAAAGTGGAATTGCTTTTTCATTGTGTTCCCATTTGGTATCTGTTATATGGAGGGTTGTACTATTCCGGTGCTTTTTCTCAGTTGTTATACCAGATCTGATAATTGCTGTTAATCATAAAATGCTGGCTTTCATGTATTTGACATTATACAGGATCTACATATCTGAATGCAACGTTAAAACTGTTGAAATCACCCCAGCCACAGTTGCTACACTTATATTCCCCGAATCACTATAGATGGTTCATACTGGTTAGAATGGAATGGAATTTATGAAATCATCATGGCTTGCTACGCGATTCGTGGGGCAGATACGAGTAACGCTCCCGGATGATATGCTTCAAATAACGAGAATAATAAATTTATGGAGTATAAGCTGCTAATTTCCAATAGAACTGCTATGCTAAAACAACCCGAGTAATCCACTAGCACTGTCATTCGGAATCAGTGAGCTCTTCCTCCGTCTAATAGATGTTCACGGCAAATGGTATTCGGTGCGAATGATTTCTTCAGGGACAGTGATCACGAAATATGTTAATGTGCTGATGTAAAACGTCTGAAAAACTAGAAACAGAGCGAGAAACGCATGTAAATTGGACGTTTATTATATTTCTTCCTGTTATTCGCCCATTGCTAATCCATTCCCCTACACACACAGGTCCAGGACTGGTATTTATCGCTTATCCGGAAGCGATTGCCACGTTGAAAGGTTCCACGTTTTGGGCAATCATCTTCATGCTCATGCTCATCACCCTGGGTTTGGACAGTACAGTGAGTAATACTGTTAAAAATATGACCATTATGACTGTAGTTGTTTGATCATGACATCGAAAGTGTGTGAATACTTCCCTGTCCCTTTCAAGTAGTCTATAGAGTTTATCAATCATTTTGCGACAATGTGCCATGAATCAGGAGACCTATAAGTACGATCTTGAAATTCTTTACCATTTAGGAGGTTTAACGGTGCAGGGAATAGGTTTCTGGGCAAACATTTTCTCGCTTGAAACATGAAATGTTGCACTACCCCTCCAACCAGATAACTATCGATATTCTAGACTCGTGTTCCTATATATGCGGTAATGCACACAATGCCATTCATGAACTTAAATAAAATATCGTACTAAGCAAAGTTGAGGGTCTCGATCAGAAACCCGCCGAGATGGAAATTCTAATGTAAGCCATTCGGATAGTAACAGTTATGTGAGGTACAACTCACATTTGTGAGTAGCTTGCGCGCATCAGGAAGCAATCGTTGGATTTCCACGGTATCCCCGAGAGTGTTTTAAAGAATTTACCGTTGCAACTACAGAAGACACAAACAGACTATCCGGTTGGCAATCAACATGGAAGAGACAATCATGAAAATACAAACTAACTGTTACAAATTAAATGTTTTTTCCTATATAATCGGATAAGGCTCCAATGCGGTTTTCCGAATAACCAACTCTCCTCGTCCCCGCATTTCCTCGTGGGGTTACAGCCAGAGCATTACATGTATTGGAATAGTTAATTCAAGTTCTAAGACATTTGTTCAGTGTAGGGCTGCCCACTATCCACTAACCGCAGACAAATAGTCAGTAGTACCGTTAACTTTGAACACATAATGTCACAGCTACTAATTGCGGAAATCACAGAGATTTCCATTGCACTCATTTGTCACCCAGAGATCATGGTTTCTTTGGGTAGGTCTGATTAAACGGGTAAAGTTCGGTAAAGGAAAGTCTTTTATTTAATGTTAAAATGTTTATGATCGAAGAGAGTTTTTGCATTTCTGACAAGTGATTCTTGAATGAAAAGAGAAGATTAAAAACAGCCGGTCTGGTATGGATACGATTGCTAGTGCACGGTTTAGCACCCAACCCCGGACAAAGATAGTGGCTTTTTTGACGGGACGTCTGACCCTTGATTTGTTCGGCACAGTTTCATAGTCTATTGGAAAGTAAACTTTGGTATACGGGTACTAAGTAGCGCTGGAAGAGTTGCAGCCACTCTAATGAAAGCAGCGGAAATGCTGAAAATTCATTATTCCAGCGTATTCGCAGCACCGCAGGTTGAAGGTTTACAACTACCCCAACGGTTGCATCATCTTCCACATCCTTAAATCACCTACATATCATTTACTGCTGAAAACGTCAAAGAAAAACTAATGGCTTTGCAAAAAAACGCAACTCCAGGTGCGGACAACATACACCCGAAATCTCTGATCTTTTTGGCAAATCACATATCCGAACCGCTAGCTATTCTGTTTCAATGAATGTTCGACCAAGCAACACTCCCCGAATCATGGAAACAAGAAGTCATTTCGCCCGTATAAAAAGGTGGTTGTCGTAGTGACCCCGCTAACTATAGACCTGTAACCCTGCTTCCGGTGTTATCGAAAGTCATGGAGTCAACTCTGGCTGATTCTCTGATGGAACATCTCGAAAGATACAGCATTCTCTCGACAGCTCAACAAGGGTTTAGGCAAAAGCAATCCTGCACCACGAACCTACTTCTCGTTCAAGATGAATGGACCAGTACAGTTGACGAAGGGGATGCGGTGGATGTTATTTATCTCGACTTCGCGAAAGTATTTGATCGAGTGANATCGAGGGAATCACAAAATTTTACTGCAGAAGCTCTATAATTATGGCGTTGGAGATTTCGCATTTGAGTGGATCAAAGTATTCCTCGATCAACGAATCATATCAGTTCGTGTTTCTAATTCTGTATCTGGACACATCAAAGCCACCCGCGGTGTTCCACAAGTGTCCGTACTGGGTCCCC